GCATCCCTATCGTGGACGTCACGGGGGGCAAGCTTATGCTCTTGTGCATCAACAACCCCAGTGGTCTCCGTAGAACCCTCTTCTTCTTCTTCACGTAGTGTTGTCACTCTCAGCTCAGTCTCGTCGAGTTCCATGTCACATATTTCACGCTCATCTGTTTCTTTCTTTTCTACAGACCGAGCTACATCGGCATCCTTATACAACCCCGCTAGTTTTTCTGATGGCTTCTCAGATTCATTAACATCTATTATTCCTTCGCTTAGATGGATGAGATTCACTGATTGGGGTTCACTATTCTCTTGTAATGTGTATACTATTTCCGTGGGGTCGTGAAGTTCAAAAGATTGTAGTTCTTTTGTTTTTGTTTTTTGAATTGATATCTCAACAGCATTTTCCTCGGTGGTTTGAGCTTCTATGGGAATTGGTTGTTGAGGTTTTGAGGAAACAATTTCCCTTGGGGTCACTGTTACACATGAAGGCTCTTGTTTTGTCTCTTCTTCTTGAGTAAGTACTGCTTGTTTTTCAGACTCTTGTTCATTGTCAAGTTGTATTAGTAAGACTTCCTCACCGGCACGAATGCTAAACGATGGATTGGTATCACCTTCCCACTCAACCTCGGCATCACCTGAAGTGCCTTTTCGTTTATCAGGCCTAATACAATTCATCGCGACATCTAATTGAGAATCATCAGGTTCTATAGACAATTGTGAACCGTAGCTCTCACTGGTGACAAAAGTTTTGTTTGGTGGCAATTCCCTATGCCTTGGAAAACCCTTTCCTACTTGGGTTGGTTGCGGATTCTCCTCATCAGTGGTATCGTCTGAACTTCCTTGAAACCAATTCTCTTCAATTTCTTTACGAGTGGAAGTTTGTCTATGCTTGGGCGTTGGTTTAGTAATCTGTACTTCTAAAGGCTCTTCATCAGTTTCTTGCTCTTCGGTCTCCTCAGTCATTGCCTCCTCTACTATTGCAGTTTTAGACTTTGCTCTATGCGCTGATCCCCGCTTTTGTGGAGAAAATTCATGTCCCAGAGGCTGTTCCTCCTCACTGGTATCTTCTTCTTCTTCTTCCATGGAGTGGACCAGTTCACGGTGCTTGGTTGCACCTGCGTGTACCCTTTTGTTCGGTGGCCCCGTAATACCATCGAGTGGCACTACATCCCCTTCAAGTGACTCGGATGAACTGCCCGTCTCCAGAGCATTAGGTGAAGGTGCACGTCGTGCTTTTCCATGAGTACCAGAGGGTGGGTAAACGAGGCGGGTATCCATCGGTTCTTCTTCAGAGGGGATTTCAGAGCTTTCCTCCACGCCTGATTCTGCAATTGGTCCTCCTTTTGAAGAAATATGAGGTGTATCCCGCCCACGACGGTTCCCAATATTTGGCAAGATTGACATATCTTGATCTTCGTCCTCCGTATGTTCCGACAGTTCCTCAAACGCCGCACTTCTTTCCTTAGCAGTACCAGACTGGATTTGCCTTCTACCATTACCCAAAAGTAGTCCCGGTTGCAGTGGAAGTTCCATGCTTTCTTCCTGAGATTCCTCTAAATTGCAACTCTCAGATGCTTCAATGGGGCCTCTAGAGGATACACTTCTTACACGCGTTACATTGTTATGAATTATTCCAACTGACATAGGAGTATCAAAAGGATTACTTGAGTCAGAGTCCTCCTCAGGGTCACTGGAGCGGTATGAAGTGTGTTCGGCAGGTGGTTCACCCTTCGCTACCCCCATTGTAGATCTTCCTCCTTCGTGAATAATATGGAATGAAAGAGGTTCTTCTTCAGTCTCCTCATCAGTTGACAGATCGCTTCTACTTGGGATGGGAATAGTATTTAAATCCCGGAATTTATGAAACTGATTGATATGTTCATCTTTCTTTTCCTGGAAAGCATCTCTGCCGCCCTTTTCCCGCGGTATTGAAGAAATAGGACTTCCCGTGGAAATAACCTGCGGCGAAATATGGTCATGATCTGAAGAAAGACTATCCCCAGATTTTCTCAAATCTCCTGAAAATGTCTTAGTCGGTTGCTTCCCACTTCCTGGTTTCTTTCCCAATTGAACCGTTGAGGACTGCACAACATCCTCTTCATCTACTTCCGACGATTTACTGAATTCTTGCATCTCTGCTGATGGGTCTTTCGTTTGATGCTTCCTACTTTCTGGTTTCTTTCCCAATTGAACCGTTGAGGACTGCACAACATCCTCTTCATCTACTTCCGATGATTCACTGAATTCTTGCATCTCTGCTGATGGGTCCTTCGTTTGATGCTTCCTACTTCCTGGTTTCTTTCCCAATTGAATCATTGAAGACTGTACAGGGGCCTCTTCATCTACTTCCGAATCTTCACCAAAACCTTGAATTTCAGCCGAAGGCATAATATGGGAGAGCCGGTTATTTCTAACTTTTCCTCCTTGACGCACTACTGATGTATTCAGAGGAGATTCATCTTGATCAACGCTACTATCGTCACTATTACGTAGTTCTGTGACTACGTCATCCCTCTGACGTCTTTTTGACCCCCGCACTAATTTCTCTTGTGGTAATGACAGAGAATATTCGAATGGTTTTTCTATTTCTTCTTCATCCTCTGCTTCAGCGCGCTGTTCCATAGCCTCCTTATCTACCTTGCGGGATCGATGTGCACTGTAAATATTTTCTTTTTCTCCCAAGTGAGGCTGTAAGGGTGACATTAAATCTTCCTCGTCCTCCTCACTAGAAGACGAAATGTCAGAGCGAACAACTTCTTTATTTGATAAATGAATTTTATCTTTATTTACAGATGTCGTTGATGATGGAGATATTATATTCCGTTTAACATCCCTTTGTATATCGACTACCTTACGTGCGGTTGTCTCTACACGTTTTGAATCTCTCACATCGCGTGAAGAATGACGTCTTTCTTCACCTACAGTGTAATCCTTCCTATCTTTCTTCTCAATTTCATGTGATGGAGATGATATCTGTTGTTCCAGTTCTTCTTCTCGTCGTTCACCGGTAGAGCTTTTAGGGACACGTTGTATAATATCAGACTCTAATGCCATTTCATTAGGTTCATCCTCCTCTCTCTCTGGTTGATATTCCTCATGCATGGGATGATTTGATGCGGAAGGTCTCATGTGCCTCCGCTTAGAACCTCCATCTAATGTTTCCGGTTTCATTGGAGATTCCAGTTCAGCAGGTGGCTCTTGTCTTTCTGCACCTTGTTCCTCCCAAGTAGGTTCATCGCCTTTTTTACCTTTACCCACATCACGTTTGGCTCCCTCAGCTATAACTTCCATCTCGAGAGGAGTATTATCTTCTGTACTGGTACTGTCAGTTCCACTTCCACTTCCACTATCTCTTTTACTTTCGGCTTTACTAGATGGTTTAACATCAGAGATTTGTGAAGAATTCCTTCCAGCCCCACCCCGGGGCATAAGTGGTCTATACTTACGCTGTAATTTCGCCAGTACGACGGCTGGATCATCATCGGGGTGAATCTCAACATCTACATTACTATCATCGACAGGAGACATTTCTGTCGTTTTCCGATTTGTAAAAGAATTAGAGCTATTGGGATCAACATGACTGGTAGCTGAGTTTACAAGCACTTCTTCATCATCCGAATCTTCAGTACCTTCGTGAAAAGGTGGAGTCTCTCCAGAACGGGTAAAAAAGTTCATTTTCATCCCAGGATTACCTTCTCTTTCTTGTCGTTGTCGTTCTTTTTCTTCTTCTTCACGTAATTCCTGAAGTCCTATTTCTCGTATTTCATCTTCAAGTAAAATGTCTTCTTCATACACCATCCCATCATAGAGCATATGTAATTGAGTAGCATAATCCTGTTCAATCCTTTGCCGTGCAAGTTTCTCTTGTTTTAAAAGAATTATTTGAGCATAAGATCGTAGGTAGTGAGATCGATTTTCATGTTCATTTCCCATAATAAATTCTCTAGAACGACGTTCATCTTCTTCTAACATCGTTGTAGCCTCATCTGGTATATCTGGAATAGAGGAAAGACCTCTCTGAGAGGCCACAACTGGTTGTGTAGAGTGGGTTTGCAGTAAGTTGTTTGCAGAGACAGCAGTGAGAAGATCTTGAGACATATCTTGTCGATAACGATCCGCGCCCATAATAACATGTGGAGTTGGAGTGACATCCGGCGGGGTATTCGTTGGGGATTCTCCACTCTCGCAGGACTGTTCGGCTGGTGGAGTGCTGTTTTCCTCCGATCCCTCTTGATTCACCACCACCACATCATTATCATTATAATTACTACTGATGTTGACATTAGGGATAGTAGAGGGGGCGTTCGCTGAAAATAAATTATCGGATGGCTTTTCTTGCGGTTTATGATGTAATTGAGTTGTTGCTAAACTGTTTTCAGTTGTAGTGTCTTGATCAAGAGGGTTATCACTAGACATCCGTTGCGGACCACCAGAGTTACTCATGATTTGAGAGTTTTTTTTTTTTTTTTTTTTTTATCTTCTACTGTTTTTTTTTTTATCTTTGCGGTTTTCTTCTCTTCTCCTCCTTTTTTTTCTTTATATACTTCTTCTTTCGTTCTGATGTTCTTTTTTCTGAATCCTCTTCGGCTTGGATCTGTTTCTTTTTCTTTTTCCAAACAATAACAACAAAACTCTATTTCGCTTGTTGTTATTATTATTATTAGTGTTGTTAATAGGCGTACCAGACCGGTTTCTCTGCAGTACGACTGAAAAAAAAAAAACAGATAAAAAATATATATAATATAATTAATTAATAAAATAAAATAAAATGTCACTATACGCTGATGAATAGACGTAAGAGAGACTCACTCACTCACTCAATCACACTCAGAGATAGAGAAGCAGCAAGAAACAAAGTTTATATACAAACAAACAAACAAACAAAAAAAAAAAACTCACAGAAAAAAATGAAATGAAAAAAAGAGTATGTAGTGGGTAGAAAAATAAACGACTCTCAGAGATCGATTTATTTTTTTTTTTTTTGGTTCTTCTTTGTTTTTATTATTTACAGTCAGAATAGCGATTGTAATTGTACACTAATAGAATGGAAGAGATAAAGACAATAATAATAATAATAATAA